GGTAGATCAGAATCAGAAAGACAAGACCGTCACACTCACAACATGATGCTTGCGGCAATTGCGCAGCGTCGGCTTCCTCAGACCATCAACGACAGCTGCGCGTCGGTTCTCGTCGTCATCCTTCTCGGGAATATAGTAATACTGGCTCTCGAGAGGCTTGCCGTCGGCATCCTTGCCCTGCCGGGGAATCGTGCCAATGCAGGTCGTGTTTTCGACAATGTACTTGAGCTCGTCGCGTGCCAATCCGACCTTGTGATCGGCAGGCAGGTTGGACAGCAGCGTGGACAACGGGGTGGAGGACAGACGCGAAAAGGCCAGCTGGTTGACAATATGGTTGGTGATGACGGCAACGTCCACATGGCTCAGATCAGGCACGTAGACAGCCTCCTTGTGCTCGTGGTCGTCTGCAGAGTCTCGTCGTCGCTGCTGCTGATCCTCCAGTAACACAGGCGTGGGTGTGGAAGCGCCGTCGTCGAGACTTTCGCGTCGTGACGACTTGGCAGCTGCCTGCTGGCGAGGGGACAGAGCAAAGTCACCCGAGTTGAGGCGGCGCCGCTTTGGAGACGAGGCCTTGAAGTCGGCCATTCGGTTGTTCAGGTTGTGACCAAAGGGCCCAAAGGAGTGGACGACAGGGTCGTTTTCCTCGTCAGGGTTGTTCTCCACATTGGAGTCGTCATTGTCGGACTGTACCTCGCTCAGCTCGCTCGAGAAGCCCTTGCTCCCCTCGGAGACGAAGCTGCGGTCGGCTGTAGAAGGACGGCGTGCAATGGGAGACGGCAGTTCATCGGCATCCTCGTCATCCTCGTAGATTTCGACGCTCAGCTCTCTTTCGCTCGCGCTGGGCAGGCTTGACAGGATGCTGCTGTGCTGAGAGCTCACGGGTGCCTCCTCATTCATGCGCAAGGACTGCTGCAGGGACGCATGCGCAGCGGCCGGAGTGGGCGACACCGGAGAGCTGATGCGCGTTGCCCTGCGAAGTGGGCTGCAAGACAAGAGGCTGGGGCCAGCAGCAGCAGCAGCAGCGTCCTCCTCCTCCTCTTCCTCCTCCTCATCCTCACCAGCAAGACCAGCAGCGGCAGCAGGGCTTCCAGAGCGCGGCGAGTCCCAGCCCAGATCAGCGAGGGTGTCGCGTGCGTGGCGCTTGGGCCAGTGGACGAGCACACGCGCATCCTGCACATCGAGCATAATCTCGGCACCCTCTGCCTCAAAGGACAGGACCTCGCCGCGGTGCATTTCATAGGTGCGGCCCTGGCACGACAGCTTCAAGCCATTCCAGCCATTGCACTCGATTTCGATCTTGTTGGGCTGCAGAGGCACCGAGGCAGCCACATAGCGGGCCTTGACGTGGACGCGACTAATCAGGCGGTTGGCCGAGAGCTGGTAGTGGCTCGAGTTGGAGGAGCGGCCCATGAGCAGCGTGTCGCCATTTTCGTCGAGCTCGACCGAGGGCACGGCAAGCAGAGGCGCGCGTTCCGAGACAATCGAGTTGGTGCGCTTGAGGGGTACAAAGTCGCCGGCTGGGATGGGAGCGCGGTGGTTGACGCGTTGCGGCGGTGACGAGGAGAGGATGCCGGTGCTGGAAGTGGGAATGGGCGTGGGATACTTGAGGTAGGCCCGGCTCATGGCAGTGTTGTTGCTGTTGCTGTTGTTGTTACTATTGTTGTGGCTGCTGAGGCCGTTGATGGTTTTGGCGGCAGCGCTGGCACTGGCGTTGCCATTGGTGTTGCTCTTTGCAACAGTGGAGCCCAGCGAGGTCGCGGCGTGGGTGGAGCTCGCGGTGGCTGCCGCAGGGCCCTTGGACGAGACTGGGCGGCTCAAGCGTCGCGTGGAAGCGAGCGTGTTGGGCAGCCCGGGCGACGACGACAGCAGCTCGAGCGGCGGCAGCAGGGCCGACTGAGACGAGGGCCGAGAGGCATCGAGGTCGGCATCGCGGTCGCGGCCGGCAGACGCAGGCCTGGAGGCTCGCAGCGAGGGCGAGAGCGGCTGGTCCATGGCGTCCTCGGGCAACGGCAACGCGTCGTGAGATGGGCGGACGGGGTCACTGGCTGGCGGTGGACGAGGGCATAGCCGGGACAGTGGGCACGGCAGCTGTGCTGGCAACGCGGAGGTCGAGGTGCGGTGGCTCAATTGCGTCGAAAGAGGACCCACGAGAGAGCGCGACTGGGTGGGTGGGCGTGGTGGTGGTTGTTGTTTTTTTGGGTCGAGGATGCGCGACGAGCACGAGAAAGCAGGTCGAGCACAGCCAGCAAGTGGATCTGCCGTGGGAAACGGAGCCAGTCAACGAGGGTCGAAACAAGTGGGCTTTGCAGGCCGGTTGCTGCTGGTGCCGGTGCTGGTTCTGGCTTCGGGTTCGGGTTGTGGCCTTGTGCAGTTAACAGAAATAAAACCGGCCAAACCCCCCCCCCCCAAAAGTGACTCTAGACACTGTCCTGGCAGTCGCGGTTGCTGAGGCTGGCCCAGCCACGTCGCGTTACCGCGTTTCTCTGCCCCGACTCGGCCAGCATAGGCAGGGGGGCTCCACTCCACCGCCCGCAAGCGTTGGGGGAGGGGAGGGGCGCGGGCTCGCACCTGCACTTTTCCAAGATTGCTGTCTCAATCCAATTGTTCCAGGTTGGAAAGTACGATGACAAAGTCACGGGACAAAGAGAGGGTGGAGATGAGCCTGGAAAAAGTACCTCGATATCGGATGGTCTCTATGCAAAAACAGACAGTGCCAGGACTGGCTGTGCATCCTGTGGTGCTATCAGTCTGATAGCACTGCAGCACTTGGCTGGCCGTTGACATACTGTATGGATCTTTTTTTTTTCTCTTTTTTTTTCTTTTTTTTTTTCCGTCATTGCAACCATTGGTTCTGCATGCAACATTTGGGCTTGTTCGTCCATGCTACCCAAAACGCGTCCTCTCCTTGCCGGCCGAGTACCTGAAGCGCGTCTGTCGGCCATTGGCGGCTACTTGGAGGTTCTTTCTGGTCCGTCCTGTACCTTCTGCAGAGTGACGATTGCAGTGTCGTCTTCATGCATCTCATTATACCATCATCTCTTAGCACGGCCTTGGCTCACCAATCCCGTCGTGGCTGCAGATCCTACAAAAACTACCCCTGCCTTCGCGTCATCCCATTTCCGTCCTGGCTGACCTGTTGCGGCTCTTTGACCAAGAAAAGTACAATGTCTACCTGCCAGCAAAAGCACTGAATCGAAGTGGGACGCTTTGACTGAATCCTTCACCATGCAAAATACTGCTTTGTTGGAATCCCGCAAAGCCGGCACGGAACCCCCGGGGCCTGGCTCCGTAACTCGGCCCGAGAGTGGCCCGTGCATGGACGCGTCTCCGGCTCCGGCTCCCGGCCAAAACTCGCGTTCGCTTCCGACCCCGAACCCCAACCCCAACCCCAACCCCAGAGCGGCACGTCCAAGAATGGTCACACCCCTGCCTGCCCTGTCTCACAACCACGACAGACCTCTGTGACTCGAGGATCAGGAACAATTCTTTGTGCAAAAAGACATGTCTTTCCGCGTCTCACACACGTGGTTTTCTTGTCTCTTCTATTTGTTGTTTTCCTTTCCTTTTCCTTTGTTTCGCAGCTGTTGCGTCATGGTACTGTTCCATTCCAACCACAATTTGCACCGTGTCGAGTTGGTGCCATCGCCTCCGCTTCTCGAGCCCTGCACGTTCACTTGCACGCATTTCTGCCCACTTGGCATGCTGTGGATTTTTGGTTCTCTTGTGTCTACTGTCTGCTTTGCTTTGCATTGTGTCTTGGTGACAGCAACAGTCACCGTTCTCTCCACATGGTCAAACGCCGTGACCTTTCCTCGGATGGAAGTCTAGGCAACACATGTCTGAGAACATAATGCGCTGTCGAAAGACCGCCGTACGAGCCGCCGAGGATGACGATGTTCTTGCTCTCATCCTTGGTGTTGCCGTGGTCAGCGTCGATGGCAGTCATGATGCAACGGTTTCGAGCAGTCTTTTGAGGAGAATTTTAAAATGAAGTGAGAGACACAGTGGTCATGTATGATTGAGTATGATGATTGTAAAGAAATTGTTCAACAATCACCGAGTGACAACCCCCGATGTACAAGAACGGGAAAGAAAAAGAAAAAAGGAATTCAACATCACAACATCCAGCACAGCTTTTACATCTCCACCATCGAGGCCCCTCCAAGGACGGCCGACGGACGGCGGGCGGATGACGAAGGAAGGAAGAAAGTGGACGGAGCGGACGAAAGACGGACGCAAGACGGACGAACGACGTACATACATACACCACCCAAAATGGGCTTAGCGTCGCTAGAAAGTGGTGTACAATGCAGCATGTAAGTCTTGCAGCGTCCGAGACGGACGAATGGTGGTAGGGTTTTTTCTTCTTCTTTTGCGGCGAGGATGATTAGCTTGGCTTGGGGTACTTGGTAAGATAAGGAGTAAGAAGCGTGATACTTGTATATGTGTTATTCTATTATATTTCTCAGTTTTCTGGGGCATGGTTGTTTTGAGAGGACATATCATTGAATTTGTCTTATTGTTGTTGTGGTAGGGGCTATTGTTTTTTAAGCCAACATTGGATGTTTTCAAGGTCTACGGTCGATTAGAGTGGACATGGTACAGCTTGGAAGCCTGCAGATACACATGTACATACAGAAACCCAAACAGCAACAACAATTCATATACCATTAGAATCCAATAGCCAGACAATTGCATTTCCAGGTCAGCTACCCTCTGCCAAAGTCGCCAAGATGCCCAGGTACTTTCTTACGAAGTCACCTCGTATCACCCATTCTTGGCCCCACCATTCAAGCCCCTAAAAGTATCCACACAAGCTTGAGCTCCAGCTCCAGCTCTGTCCAGCTTCCTCCCCTCCCACTTTCCCTACCTAATGGTATCCCCACAAGAAAGAAAAGAAAGGAGGGGAAAAAAAAAGAAGGGGTATGAGGAAGAAAGGGGTTGTTAAGCAGCTTTTGCAGCTCACGACCTCAACAAACCAAACCAACCAACCTACACAAGGCAGTGTAGCCAAGTGGTTACGGCGCTGGCCTGCTAATTCGCCAAATGGAGTTATCAGTGTAGCCAGTCCCTTCGGGGGCGCGTGTTCGAATCACGTCACTGTCGGTGTTTTTTTGTTTGTATTTCTTTTTTCCCCCTTTTGTGATTTCCTTCTTTCTTTTTGGGGTGTTCTTCTTCTTGGTATATTTGTATATGTCTGTTTGTGTATAGAGCTTGGTTTCGCCTGAATGCCGATTTCGCCGCTGGCTGTTTACTGTGCTATCGGCTTACTGACCGCCACTACCGTCTCTAAACTTTCAAGAACCTCACGTGCACTGCCATATCTGACTGACAGACAGGCTTCTCAATAGTTGCCTACGTTTTTGCTTTCTGCTTCCCGTGAAAGCGAAACATGACGCCATCACTGCCGTACTGAGAATGGATCCAGCCTCATCAGGCAAACTGTCAACTCGTGACAAAAGAGGCAAAACAAAAAAAAAAAAAAAAAAAAAAAAAAAAAAAAAAAAAAAAAAAAAAAAAAAAAAAACATCGCTCAGCGAGACGGGTTTTCAATCATTTTCAATCATCTTCATCACAACGGAATGACTATGCAACAGACCAGCGAGCAAGGAACAAGTCCCCTTCGTGCTACTGTGGACTCTGGAGAGCGATCAGTACAGTATGACTGCGACGTGAGCATCAAGCAGATGATGTACTCGAGACGAAATCAGCCCCCCACGGAACGGTCTTCTTGTGTTGTATCGCTTGTTATTATGAATGTCGCAAAGGTAGGTGCAAATGTTGAGATAGATATTGGCCCCAAAAGTAAGGAAAGAGAACGAAACAGTCTTCTCATTACATGACCCTCAACGTCAGTCCCTGCAAGCAGGTACACACTAGGTCGAGCCGTCAACATCCACCAAAGCATTCACAAGAACCAGTTGAAAAGTCTCCCGGAGAAAATCACGATCCTATCAGTAACCCATGCACTCAATCCGAGCCAACCCAGTCATTTACCTCCTCTACTTGCTTTGGTACTCCAGGAGTATCAACCTTGGTCTGTCCCGCGACAACTCTCTCTCCCTACCTTGTCTTGCTTCTTCTTCTTGTCGACAACGTCGTCCTCGTCTTCAGAATCTCTGGGGTCCTCATATTCTGCGCAGCGGGTGATGCTCGCAACTGCATGGATAAAAAAGGGCAGCATTTCTGAAACTGGGTTCTGATCAAGACCAGCCCAAGTCCATTGAGGTCTGGGATCAGTTCGAAACGCCTGCGAGCGGACTGAGAGCAGCACCAGAGGAAGCATGGGATACACTCACGAATCTGGCTGAGTCATCTATTGAGATCATGCTGAGGCATCTTGCTTTAAGTTGCCGTCTCCACTGGTGGTGGGGAGATACAGTATATATTATATACATGAAATAAGAGTATGCGTAACGTTTTCATATTCTGATCTGGGACTTCAGGAATAGATTTGGCTTGTCCGGCTGTTTGATCTAGGGATTCCTGGCCACCACCTTCATTTGATCAAAGTGTTTGCTTTATTCATTGTCCCTGGGCTTGACCATGTCTCAAACAGATACAGCAGCAAGATAGCAAAACTCACAACAGGGCCTGCAGTGTGTTTTTCGGACACAATCTGCTGGAGAAACGAACGATTGGCTCTAATAATGCAAAGCTGGAACATACCTCACTCAACATGCCATTAGATACCTAGAGGTGTAGTACTCTACATCAAGAAGCTGTAATGGCAGCCTAGTCGGTCACCGGCTTTGAAAGCTGCGAACTCATCTATCCTTTCAAGATGCTATCCACTTTTGGTGCTGCTTCTTTCTAACATCTGAAGCATCAAGGCAGCAGCTACAAATGGGAGAAAAGCTGGAGCCAACCCCTGCTGTAATCTGGCTGCTCTGCTTGCCAACCTGAAAGCACTTTCCCCCTCCTACAACAGCAGCTCCTTGCATCGCTTTCCCCTCTCGGCGCCCAACTCTGGCCCTTCCACTCTCGCACTCACACTCACAACTTCTGCTTGCCTTTGGTAGCCAATTATCATCTTCTTCTATCTGCGTCGCCGTTCACTCACCTTTCCCTATTCCTCCTTCGAACTTCACATCAATTCCCTCACCACCTGTGCGATCTCCCAGTCGGCGCACAGCATCAACATGGCAGACCTTCCCAAGGTGCCCATCTGGCAGCAGCCTGATGTCTGCAAGTACATCATCGAGTCAATCGATAGCTCTACGGTACCGCTTCAAATCAAGAAGTCGTCGATATCCGGCGCAGGAAGCGGCCTGTTTACCACTGCTGCCATCAAGGCTGGCACCGACGTCTTTTGGTCCATCCCACGCTTGGTCAGCACTGAGATCAGGGACGACGCCATCTGCGACTTTTGTCACGCTGACCCTCGGAGCCCGGTCCACCACCGCGGCCACTTTATTGAGAACAAACAGGAAACGATGGTTGTCCATGCCTGCGTTGGCTGCCGGGTCGTCTTTTACTGCTCCAAGGTCAGTGCCAACATCTACGTCCTCACACATTTCCGCTGTCCCGTTTGTGGTTCGATAGTTTCATGCGGCCGACTTGCTGACTGCCACTTGGCTTTGATCGAGTAGGATTGTCAATCCAAGGCTTGGAAGGCTTACCACAAGCACGAATGCTCCATCTTCAAACGGCTTCTGCCGAGGATCAGCCCAGGCCACGGCCTGCCCGCCCTCACTCTTTGCCGGCTGACGATCATGTGTGAGAACAAGCTCGTCAGCGAGGCATTTATGGCTGTCCTGTTTAAGCTGTCGAGCCACTTTACCAAGCTCAACGAGGGCTGGTACGAGGACAACGATGAGGGCGTCAGCCCGGCTTTTGAGATTGCCAATGTGATCCGAGAATTGACGAACCCCAAGGATGGCGATGCCAGCAGCAGCAGGTCAGAAATTCGCATGAGCGTGGAGCAGTTGAATGCCCTCTACTGTGTTGTCAGTCTCGCTGTGGTCCTGTTGCGGCGATTGCCTACAGAATCTGAGGAGACGTTTCTTGCTAACATCTTTTCCCCCTTTTGGGAGAAACCACACAACAGATCAGTTGCAACGGTCTCGTCATGAACCATGCCGACACAGAGAGAGTCTATGGCTCTGCTATCGACCTGGCTGTCTCAGTCCTCAACCACTCTTGCGAGCCAAACGTCCACATTTACTTTGAGCCGGGCCGCAAGCTGCGGTGCCGTGCTCTCAAGAACATTGGAGCCAACTCTGAGCTCACCATACATTACTATGCCAAGCCGGTTGCCGATGTTCTGCTCCGACAACAAGTCCTCACCGACAACATGTACTTTGATTGCAAATGTAAGCACACTCAGTCGCATTCCTTCAAAGATCCCAAGTAGAAGAACACATGTCCAGATAAGAATGAGCACTTGTAAGCTGTTCACTGCTCACCACCTGAAAACTAGGCATGAAATGCTGGAATGAAATGGACAAGCACAAGGCCCAAGCAGCCATCTTGGGCCCCAAGTTCATTGACGAGTGCCGCAGCGGCCAGGAAAGAATCCTGCGCCTGACGTACGACTCGGAGCGCGTCTTTGCCAGCAAGCGCGTTCTCAAGACCTGCCTGGCTTTCCAGGAGCGCCTCGGCGACCTCGTCACCACGGGCTACCCCAGCGGCGAGCGCTGGCCCAACACGCTCGCTCCGCTGTCGCTTGCCTACCGGTCCCTCGGCTGCATGTACCGCGACCTCAACTACGCCGTCGGCCTGGAGCTCGTCCTCCGCGGCACGCTGCACGAGCAGCGCGAGCGCAACCCGGACTGGCCCTCGCAGCTGCACAGCCTCGTGCGATATATTTACCACATTGCGCAGGCCGACGACGAGATCAAGTGGGTGGGCGTCAGCGACCGCGCCCTGGCCAAGGGCCTGATCCCTGGCCGCGGCGACCTGCGCGACCTCGGCCGCGGCTACCACATGATGCTATGCCGCACGGCCAAGTTCATCTTTGGCCTCGACTGTGCCTTTGTGCGTGCCGTGTACCGGTGGCTCTTCAACTTCATGGGCGCCCACGGCGAGCTCGGCGAGCCCGAGACCAACCCCAGGGCCTTTGCCGAGAGGTACAACAAGACGCAGCAGTGCGTGCTGGAGTGGGCCCAGACGGACGATGAGTACGGCATCAAGCTGCCATCAGCCAAAGAGATGCGCCAGCTCAAGGCCGATTATGCGATCATTTGCGGCACCGACAAGGAGGTATCCGAGAGGGAGCCCGAGACTCGCGCAAGCATTTGATCTCTGCTAACCGGCCAGCGTCAGTTTTCCGCGTTGGCCGTTGTTGAAGGCGATGTGAGTGACCACGGTTTGGCAGCAAGAGATAAGCCAGCCAGCCAAACAACCAGCCATGAGCAACGGCAGAAGAAAAAGGGATTATTCATCTAGTCATTGACTGAGTGAGTTACACGGAAACACTGGTGTAAGTGGCATTGGATGTTTTTCTCTAAATTTGCCTTCTCAGGTGAGGGTTTGTTTTGGCAGGTAGCAACTTGGCGAGATTTTCAATCGAAATCAATTGTCGGGGGTTTTTTTTTTCCGAGTTCAAAAAAAACAACAACAAAACCTTTGCGTCCGCTTGACAGAGAAAGCAACCAAGTGAGGTTGAATCTTGGCCCTCCCGCACTCGGCCGAGCGGTCGCCGGCGCGGACAAGGAGATTTCATTGACCAATCACCGCTTGAGCGCTCGGCAAAAGCTCGGGCAAATCATAGCTGCAGCTGGCCGCACTTGTACCTCGATACCCCAAGGACCTGGGTTCTGTCGGAGACGATCACGCGCGGATGGACTATTTTTGAGGTCTCGCGCAAAGGTTCGAGATCCCATCGGCTTGGATCGCAAAGATGACTTGATACAAATGCGATACTGTGCAAAAAAAAAAAAAAAGTGAAAGGAAAAGTGAAAGCCAGCCAAGGTATGTGGTTCAGGTTCCATGTCGTCACTGGGCTGAGGAATGTCTGTGGCAATGAAAACATGTACACATTTTGTACAACGAGGGAGGGTGAGAGGAGAAGACGCACAGAAAGAAAGCGGGCTGCGTTTTAATTCCCAACCACACAAATTGAAAACTACTTACTTTTTCCAATGCGAAGATGACACAAACTA